AAAGCGTATTTTAGGAGAAAGCCATGGCTATAAGATTAAAAGACTGCAGATAATGTAGCGAATTCAAAAAAAAAAACATTGAAAATACTCAGAAAATGTCTCAGCAGCTTTCAATTATGAATAGCTTGTTTTATCATTGTTACATGTTGCAGTCAGAGTTGCGACAATGGCCAATGATACGTCATGAGAAGACAGTCTTTCGTATGATTCCCAGATATAATCTTCTTTTAGAGTGTTCCCCACTCAGATAGAGCTAATCAAATGTAGGAGAGATACAGATGAAAGTCAAGATTACCGCGAGATCTGATTTAACTCAAAACTTTGCCAATAAAAGAGATGTTATCCTGCCCAAAGATATCCAGAAGATAGATCGCCGCACTTTTTGATGATATTTATCGAACGAAGAAAAGTCTTCAATGTCACGTGCGAAAAAAAAACAGACCTTGAGCTGAGCAACAAACGCTTGTGATCGGACAACATCGAGCATAGTGACTCCAAAAATTCGTTTTTTGTCGTAGACGCCATGTTTCTTCATCACTTCAGATGCGATGGGTACTGTCGAGTTTACCGGATTAGTGATGACAGCAATCAAAGCCTATAAACAAGGTTTGAACGCTGGAAAAAGCAATACCGAACAGTGAAGATGTTTGACCTTTGGAGCTTCCACAGCGACTACATCGACAAGATCTCGGACTATACCAGCGTTGGTGTTGAATAAGTCATCTCGAGTCATTCCTGGTTTACGGGGAACACCAGCTGGGATCACGACAATATCAGCATTAGCAACTGCAGCAGCAAGCTCTCCTTGTCCAGTATGAGCGGTCACCTGGGTAAGCTCAGTAAAGGTATCAAATTGCAGGTAAACAAGCAAAATCTCACCTTAGCATTGGTGTCGATGTGTGAAAGATCCGCTGCGACACCAGGAGTGTTAACAACATCGTACAGCGCTAGATGTTTCACCAGATTATCCTGCTTCAATAGCAAACCCAAAGGTTGTCCAATACCACCGGAGGCACCAAGCAGA